TACACTATTAGCATATGACCTGCATGCAATTGGCTTCTAATTATACATATCCTTTTAGTTGCACGGTTGTGTTATTTGGGTATTTTATGATAAACTATTTATAGAATCTCCTAATAATAATAATAATATTTTTAATAATAACAAACAATAATAATAATAATAGTGATGATGATGATCATCATCACTTTTTATAGCGCTTAACAAACGCATACACCTGCATAATTTTTTGTTGTTGCATATACCTGTATTATTTTTCTCAAAATGGATGTGTGTATGTGTATGTACGTTCGTGTGCCTGTGTGTGTGTGTGTGTGTGTGTGTGTGTATGTGTTTTGTCTGTGTGTATGTGTATATGTCATTGTATTATACCATACCGCCCGCATTGCATAATAATATTATTATGTTGGTATAATAATGATAATATAATTATTTTGGTATAATAATAATAATGTGTATGTGTATATGTCATTGTATTATACCATACCGCCCGCATTGCATAATAATATTATTATGTTGGTATAATAATGATAATATAATTATTTTGGTATAATAATAATATTATTATTATCATTTGTAATAGTTATTGTAATTGTTATTATGATTATTGTTATTCTACAGCGGTTAATGTAGTGTAATGTTATTATTGTTCATGTCGTTATTTTTTTATTGCTGCTCCTCTAGACTTAGGCAGTATTTCTTACACGTTTCAGATGATGACGACGACGATGACGATGATGGCTATTATTATTATTATTATTATTAATTATTATTAATTATTATTATTATTAATTATTATTATTATCTGTTGTTGTTGTTTGCTGTTGTCATTATAATTTATATTACTGTTGGGCATTCTTATACTTGAAGATTTTTTATGTTCTCAAGGGTTTATTCGCAAATGTACGAGTAAATAATTTTGAAAGTAATTTCAATAATATTTAATAATAATAATAATATTTAATAATAATAATAATAATATTTAATAATAATAATTATTATTATAATAATTTATAAATATCGATTGAATTAATATCTTTGTTTGGTTTGATTAAAATGAGAAATTATGTTACACTGTTTCTTCTTGTCATTCTCGTAAACAAAAAGAATAATTCTTGTATCAATGTACATTTGTATGTTTGTGTCTGTGTGTGTGTGTGCGTTTGTGTGTGTCTGTATGTAAGCATGTATCTGCAATAAAATAGGAATTAAAGGCAATTCAGATTCAAATTTTCAACAGGCTTAAGTGTTTTTGTTGGTTCAAATCTCCATTTAGAATTAGTTACAGTATAATATCCTTGGTCATTTATCTAGTTTAACTAAAGTTAGATACAGTTTTATTTGTGTATTTGTATATACAAATATCCATGTGCATATCTATAAACACGTATTTAGTACCTAATGTATATACCTAATGTATATATTAATATAGCTAATAAATATTTGTTTCTAAGTGTTGTTACTAAATGAGAACGGCTTTCCATAGATTCACTTTTAATTTTGACATTTAATTAATTTAAAATTTAAATGTCCTAGTTGAAAATCTTTTAGCGACCTTATTTCTCGTAAAAATTTTAGCCGAATTAAAACGTTTTATGTAAAAATAATCAATTAATCTTAAATTTGTGTTATTTTACGTTAATATTTATCATAATTTATTCAGTTTGCGTTACTAATTAAATTAGTTTTTACCTTTTTATTCATTTTTCGGTGTGTTGTGACCACAAAAGTTCCAATTCTTAATTCTTATTATTAAATAAGTTAGAAAATATTAGTACAGATACGTATTTGTTTGATTGAATGGCGGATGAAACAGATGACAAGTCTGCTCGTTTTGTCGTTGGTGGGGAGCCAATATACACCCCCACGTCAACATCTTGCTCTGAAGATGAAGTAGATTCTTAGATTTTTAAATACTATTAGTACATATTTTTTCAAAACTTTGTCTCTAGTTGTCTAGTCAATAATTTTATAATTTTCTAATCTAATTGCTTTATTCAAATAAAAATACTATATCAAATGTTTACATAAATTTTTCTATTATTTATTCATTTTTATTAAATATTCATTTTTTTTATTGCTCTTTTGAATTTAAACTCAATTGGAATAAATTAGAGTTCAGATGATGATGATGATGATGACGATGAAGACAACGATGATGGGGGAAGAATAAAAGTTGGGGTATGTGCCATGTCGAAGAAATCACATTCCAGGCCAATGCAAGAGATCCTAGATCGCCTGATCAGGTTCAAACACATTGAGACGTTTGTATTCGACGAGGATACGATTCTCAATCAACCAATTGAAAAGTGGCCGATCTGTGACTGCCTAGTCTCATTCCATTCGAAGGGCTTCCCACTAGAAAAAGCAATTCAGTACGTCGAAATGAGGAAACCTTTTGTCATCAACGACTTGAAAACTCAGTATTGTCTGCAAGATAGGTTAGGTTTTGATGATAATTACGATAGATGGGATGATGATGATGATGATGTTTGCAATGATGATGATGATGATGATGGTGGTGGTGTTTATTCAGATCAAAAGTCTACAGAACTTTAGCTCATCATGGGATTGACAAGCCAAGATATGCTGTTATGAATAGAGATCCAAGTGCTGAAGGTGATGGTGATGATGATGGTGGGAATGATGATGGTGACGTAGATGTTGATAATAGTTATGGTGACGTTGCTGATGGCTGTGTTGATGATGATGATAACCCTCATCCCCAAAACTAGGGATGTGCCAATTTTCCGAAGCCGATGACTACATAGAAGTTAATGGTTCCGTATTCCACAAGCCATTCGTTGAGAAGCCAGTCAATGCAGAGGACCACAATGTCTACATATATTTTCCAAGCAGTGCCGGAGGCGGGAGTCAGAGACTGTTTAGGAAAGTTAGTGAAGATGGCGTCTTTTTTTTTCTTTTTTTTCTATTTGTTTTGTTTTAAAGTTATTAAAGATGTTGTTTGTTGTTTTTGTTTTTAGTTTATTTGTTTATTTGCAGTTTGTTTTGTTTGCACGTCTGTATGTTCTATATGTATGAATGTAGTATATTATACGTTTGTATGTTTTTCCGTCCATATCTGTATGTGTGTGTGTATGTATGTGTGTTTGATCAATCACGTGATCACTTCCCCATTTCAGATTGGCTGCCGTAGTAGCGTTTACTCGCCAATCAGCACCGTTCGTAAGGTTGGATCGTTCATGTACGAGGAATTCATGCCGACCGATGGGACAGATGTCAAAGTCGTTATCATCACCACCATCATTATCGCCATCGTCATCATCATCATCATCATCGCCATCGTCATCATAATCACCACCACCATCATCATCAATGTCATGAATAGCAACAACCTTATCGTCAGTGACATCACCATAATCACAATCATGTCCGTCGTCAACATCAACATCACCGTCATCATCATCGTCATCATCTTTTTTAATCATCGTCAATGACGTCATCATCGTCGATGACGTCATCATCGTCATCACCAGGTGTATACAGTCGGGCCAGATTACGCCCACGCAGAAGCCCGCAAGTCTCCTGCCCTGGACGGAAAAGTGGAACGAGATAAAGATGGAAAAGAAATTAGGTCACCCATGACGATGATGACGATGATGACGATGACGATGATGATGATGATGGCATTTGTATTTTTGGTTTTAACAGGTATCCGGTTTTGTTGACGGCCAAGGAGAAAATGATTGCAAGGACCGTCTGTTTGGCTTTTAAGGTGACGTTTGTATGTCACCTTAAAAGCAAATGTTTGTTTGTTTGTATGTGTGTATGTTTTTATGTATGTTTATATGTTCCTACGTATTAAATAAACCAACCAATCAACCAACAAAATCTACCAATCAATCAATTAACCAACCGAAACCAACCAACCAACAAATTGACCAATCAATCAATAAACTGACTAACCAATCAACCAATTGACCAATCAATCGATCGATCACCAAATGAACCAACTAACCAACCAACCAATCAGCAAAACGTTTGTGGATTCGACCTACTGCGAGCCAATGGCAGGTCGTACGTCTGTGACGTCAATGGCTTCAGCTTCGTCAAAACGTCACCAAAATATTACGATGACTGCGCTAAAATATTGGGGTGATTAAGATGATGATGACGATGATGATGACGATGATGAAGATGAAGATGATGATGACGATGATTGCAATGATGATGATGATGATGATGAAAATTAACAGCCAAAATCATCATCATCGTCATCATCGTCATCAACATCGTCATCATCGTCATCATCATCTTCGTCGTCATCATCATCATCGTCATCATCATCTTCGTCATCATCATCATCATCATCGTCATCATCGTCATCATCATCGTCATCATCGCTACCATCACCACAGTAACATGATATTGAGACAGTTAGCCCCGAGTTTGCACATTCCCTACAGCATAACCTACCAATCGGAGGACATCCCTATCGTGCCAACGACATCCGGGACTATGTGAGATACTCGTGATGATGATGATGATGACCTTCTTGATATTTTTGATGTGATTGGCTTGTTTTTAATGTTTTTAAAAAACTACCGGCTTAATTCACTATATCAGTCCAACTTTCCAAAAAATTGAACTATAGCACTGCTATAACCGACCCCTTGAACCTGTAGTCTATATCAGTCCAACTTTCCAAAAAATTGAACTATAGCACTGCTATAACCGACCCCTTGAACCTGTAGTGTAGTAATCCTCTCTACATGGATTCCTGACTTCTGAACAGACTTAGATGAACTTTATCTGAAAGAAGATTGTGTGTATGTGTGTGTGTGTGTGGTGTGTGTGTGTGGTGTGTAAGAAGACTGTGTGTGTGTATGTGTGTGTGTGTGTGTTGTGTTTGTGTGTGAATATATGCATGTGTTTCTGTATGTGTGTTTAAGTTGCGTATTTAATGTTAGTGCAGTAGTTAAAGGGTCTGGCACTGTTGTTGCAGTGGCCGGGTTTTAATGCAGCGGGATCTCCGCCTGACATCACCGTAATCACTATCACCACCAACATCATCATCGTCATGATCATAATCACCGCCAACAACAACATCATCATTGTCATAATCACTATCACCACCAACAAAAACATCATCATCATCATAATTACTATCACCACCAGCAAAAACAT